GTGGGGTGGAGGGTGTGTGTGTGTGTGTGTGTGTGTGTGTGTGTGTGTGTGTGTGTGACAATGTGTGTGTGTGTGACTGTGTCTCTGTGTGTATGTGTCTGTGTGTGTGTGACTGAGTGTGAGTCTGTGTGTGTGTGACTGAGTGTGAGTCTGTGTGTGTGTGACAATGTGTGTGTGTGTGACTGTGTGTGTGTGTGTATGTGTCTGTGTGTGAGTGTGTGTGTGTGTGACTGTGTCCGTGTGTGTGTGTGTGTGAGTGTGTGTGTATGACACTGTGTGACTGTGTGTGTGTGTGTGTGACACTGTGTGACTGTGTGTGTGTCTGTGTGTGTGTGTCCCTGTGTGTGACTGTGTGTGTGTCTCTGTGTCTGTGTGTGTGTCTGTGTGACACTGTGTGACTGTGTGTGTCTGTGTGTGTGTGTGTGTGTGTGACTGTGTATGTGTGTGTATGTGTGTGTGTCTCTGTGTCTGTGTGTGTGTGTGTGTGTGTCTCTGTGTGTGTTTGTGTGTGTATGTGTGTGTATATGTGTGTTTGTGTGTCTCTGTGTGTGTCTGCTGTGTGTGTGAGTGACTGTGTGAGTGTGTGTGTGAGAGTGTGTGTGCGTGCGCGTGTCTGTGTGTGTGTGTGTGACTGTGTCTCTGTGTGTGTATGTGTGTATGTGTGTGTGTCTCTGTGTCTGTGTGTGTGTGTGTCTGTGTGTGACACTGTGTGACTGTGTGTGTGTCTGTGTGTGTATCCATGTGTTTCTGTGTGTGTGTGTGAGTGTGTGTGTGTGTGTGTGTGTGTGTGGTGACGAGGAGTATGTACAAATATCAAGGATCTCTGTGTGTGTCCCTGCCCGCACACTTGAGTAAACAAGGAAAGTCCTTCCTGGTGTCCAGAGTTGAACCTGTGGAAACATTGACAGACTCTGGAATTGGCACATTCCAGTCCAGGCAAGAAACAGTGTGAGGGTGAGGTGGTAAAATGATCCTTGCTTCAAAGAGAAGGAAATAGACTGAGGGGTTTGTTCTGCAAAAGACGGGTTTGTTATGTAAAAGACAACTAACATCAGGTTCGGGAAATTTGCTTGGATTTAATTGAAAATGTTTAACCATTGCAACAGCAGTTATTTGTACTTTTAAAGGATTTTAAAGCTAACCCTCACCTTCCTTATTTTAATGTTGTTGATGGTAGGAGTGGAACACAGGCTTTGCACATGCTAGGCAAATGGTCTAACCCTGGGTTACACATCCTTAGCCCCAGTTAATCAGGTTTGAGTCATGGGTCTTTTGATAATTCAATAAAAACTATGAATCTTCTCTTCAAAAAATTAATATTCATACAAACCAGTGTATTACCACTGAGGGTTTTGCTCTCCTGAAGAGTGTTAGCTGATTTCTGTATTGGGCACTAAAGGCGCCCCAATCAACAAGAACAGTATTTTCCACCCTGAAGGAAACTTAATTTCAGAGAGAGATTGACATAGACACAAAGTACATCTGGGCATAGTGGCATATACTTGTAATCCTAGCACCCAGGGTCCAGAGACAAGAGAATTTTGAGTTTGAGGCCAGCCCCTGAGTGGGCTTCATACTGTGGTCAAGGCCAGCCTGTCTCAGAAATAAACATGGGTTCAGTGTAATCCTAGACACTGAAAGTACTGGCAGTGTGAGTAGCCAAAGAACTTTCCCTAGGGAATAGGGTACAAGTTCTCAAAGGGTGTTTGAAAAACCTAGTTCCATATAATACATTAAAGAAAGAATTTGGAAGAAGCCAGGCATGGTGGGAACACTTGGGAGACTGAGGTCCATGGGCCACAGAGTGTTCCCTTTTTAAAGAAGTGTGTATGGGAAGGAGATGTAATTCAGTGATAAAGTACATACCCAAGGCCCTGGGTTCTATCCTCAGTACTATAGATCTACCTGCCACACACTGAAAATAATCTGGTCGGGTAGGACTTGGGATCTCAGGAAATGCGTCCACAAAACATATGCAGACAGAGAGGATGGATGTCAGTCGTGTGCAAATACTGCAATGGACTTGGGCAGCATCCTCTAGATTTCAGCGTCCTCTGGAGGCCCTAGAAGCTGTCATCTGCAGACTGAGGGCAACTTCACTGAGTTCAAATACTTTGGGTAAATGCCTGGAGAATCGAAATTCAAATTGGGAATCCAATTTAAAAGCTCCAAAAAGTAAAGAGATTAACTTAGTGTTTTCAGACTTCCTGCCTGCCTCAGTCTTACAATAGCAGGAACTATAGACTTATATTACCACACCCAACTTAGTCTCATTTTTAACAAACAGGCCTTTTTGTTGTTGTTAGGCAACTATAAACTTTCCAGAGAACATTCTCTGTGAGTCGATTGAGTTTTACAGAGGAGGTGAACTATAAATCAAGGCGTTTGAAGGATCTCTTGTGGTTGGGACCTATATAAGGTAGATAGCTTCCTGTCTCATTCATATCAGAATTTAGGGCTTACAAGTCACCATAGTAGCAAAACTCTATGTAGGTTGTAACTACTATCAGATAACCTGTTTGCTTATAACAAAAGCTAAAAGGAGTGAGCACTGTGGTAAAGCTATCTTAGTCTCTATTAGCCCCCAACCCCTGCATTAGAAACTGTCTTGCCTTGCCTTTCTCTTCGTTCCTAATCCAGGCTATCCTATCTAAGCTATCTTGCTCCCTGCTTCCCCCTTCAGCCCCTGCATACTGCACTCACCACTTTGACCACACCTTTGAGACATTCTTTTGAACACTTAATGCAGTTTGGCCTGTTTGGTTCTGACACTGTATTAGTGGTGTTGTCAGAATATGATGAAGCCTGGCTGTTACCTGAAATGTGCATAGGATACTCAGGCAGAAGTGGTGAAATTACTAATCACAAGCAAGAGGTCTTAGGGTTGTATTGTAGATATTTCAGTAGGAGTACAGTTCTTTGGATGTTTTTCCATGCCATTTGAAATGCAAAGATTAGGATCGAGTTTTGGAGGGTTTTATTTTGCATTAGACTTGGTTATATGAAAACTATTTCTTGCTGTTTTGAGGTTTGGGATCCCTGAATTAACTTTCTTCTTTCTGGTTATACTAGAGTTTGGGGCCCTTGTTTCTTGTCTTGACTAAGCTTGGAGTAGGAACTTGTTGGAGAAATGGGATCTTTGTATATTTCTAATAGTAGTTCTAAATTATTAAAAGTATCTCTAATCTTCTGAAGAGACCTATTGTAGGGTCTGCCTCAGTCAGATTTTGCTTATATACTGTGGTGTGTTTGATAGCTTCAAATCATTGGTTTAATAGTAGTATGGTTCATATAACTGATGGCTAAAGAGAGCTGCGGATAATATGTTTAATTAGTAAAGCTAAAAGAGTGTTATTTTCCTGGGTTGACATTGCTTTGATTGTAAGCAAGTCTGTACAAGAACTTAATTTATTCATATTTTCTATTTTGACAGGAACTTGATATCAAAATAGCAATTAAGTCTTGTCGCCTAGAGTTAAGTACCAAAAACAGAGAGCGCTGGTGCCATGAAATCCAGATCATGAAAAAGTAAGTCTGTGCTTCAGCTCTACAACCCCACCAGTTTTCAGTAGTAGGGAAAGAGATGAAGCTTCACTTTTCTCAAGGAGATCTTTTTGGTCATTGAATATATGTGTTCTACTTTAGCTAGTTTTATCACATTATGGCTAAGAAAGTTATAGTTTAAATCAGCTAGGTAACATTCTCAACCTGTCTCTTTAAGTTTTTCTTCTGAATATTGAGCAACAACTTATGACTAGTATATACATCATTTCTTTTTGTACTTAACTTTTTTTTAAAATAGTGAATCTATTGTTTTGTAGACAATTGTTCCAAAATTTCATACCTGAAAACTGGATATTTAGTATCTGTAGTTTATGGCTGAGTTAATTGTGGTTCTAGCTCAGGGCCTCTCCTGAGACATCTGAAAATGTTGACTTTATAGAGCTGCAGTTATCTGAAGGCTTGGCCAAAGCTTGAGTATTAACTTCCAGACTCACTCATGTGGGTTCTTCATTAAGGGAACCTCTCCACAGGGATGTAGTGCACATACTTTAATGGCGTGGCAGCTAGCTTCCCCAGACCAGTCATCTGAATGGGGGAGAATAAGAAAAAAGCTGACAGATCTCTTAGGGAAGTCATATTGCCTTAGAAGTCATATTTCATATTTTCTCACTGCATTCTGTTAGAAATCCGTCACTAAGAGTGGTGTGTATGCTTAAGGGGAATAGAAATGAACTTTTGAGGGGACAGTGGATATGTTTTAATTTCCGCAGTGTGCTTCCATTCCTGTAGTTGTCATCTAACTGTGTATTTGGGTATTGTCCTGTTTTGTGGATAAGAAAGATGAAACACACAGTCATACAACTGTACTGGATTTGAAATGAGCATTTTCTGACTTTAGTTTGTGCTCAAATCATTTTATTTTGGCTTTCAAACTTGGCTATGTGGAAGAATAATATAATTTAATAATATAAATTCCAAGTTCTATTACATTGTGAGGATGATCATAAAGATGATAATAGATTGTTACATTAAAAAAGGAAGAACTATGGGCTAGAGAGGGATAAGCAGTTAAGATCACTTAACTCTAACTCCTCTTGTAGAAGATCAGGCTTATAACCACCTGTAACTTAGTTTCCAGGGGATCCAGTACCCTCTTCTGACCTTAAAAAAAAATTAAGAACAGATGAAATCAGTAACTAATGTGAGCATATTTATTG